GAGAGGGAGAGAGAGGAGCTACATAAGTTGGGTTGGGGACGGGCAGGCATGGGGTTGATGGGTGGAGAGAGAGAGTACTCGTTTATTTAGACTTGAATGAGACAATTTGTCCCACATCAAAGAGGGACGCTAATATAAATCGCTATAAAATATCCATAACAGCCTTTGTTGGGAGTGCGTGAGGTGCACGCGATAGGTGGAGTGCTTTGTAGTATAGAAGCACGTGGCTAACATGTGGTGAGGGGCATGACTTGTATTTTACAATAAATTCCAAAATGGTCCATGCAAAACGGTTTGATGACGTATTTATTCGATTTATGATGTCACAAGTGATTTTTTTATAAAAAGAAAAAGGTCGAATCCCCTTTTTTTGCTGAATCCGGAACAGTATTGGCGATTCCCGATCCGGATCACCCGATTCCGGATCGGATCACCGAGTTTTTAAACATTGCTTTACTGTTCCCCTCCTCTGGCACCTTTTTGGGGTTTCCAATTCCCTCTCCACCACTCCCTTAGAGATTACTTATGACTTCTGAGAGTGTATAACACATTCCCATCCTGAACTGACATGAACAACAACATATTCTCTAGCTTTTCTTCAAAACTATCAACAAAGCAAGAAAGGAATGACCTTTAACTTATGTCATAGGCCTCAAAACTCAGTCTCCAAAAATAAAAATAAAAACGAAAACGAAAAGGTAATAGGCCTGAAATAGCAAACATCCTTTGCCTCATGACCATATTCTTCCATTGAAATTCCTCACACAGAATCCCTTTGCACATATTCTTCCATTGAAATTCCTCACACAGAATCCCTTTGCAGTTTCCCTTAAACAAACTCGGTAGAAGTTCAAGTAACACCCCTTCCTCTCGAGTATGAGATATCAGATTTATATGGAAAGCTAGACACTGTGGTTCCCTTAAAGATTATCACTGTGGTATCTTGTTCTTACAAAAGTACACCTCAAAAGTAATACCACCATTCATCAAAAGAAACCCAAAGGATCACGAACATCTTGTTCTTAATGAATATCTAATTTAAAACGAGTACCACCATTCTTACCAAAGAAATCACAGAGACTACTTTTATTTCAAGACTAAGAATGAAAGTCTTATATCAACCACATCCGACAAATGCCAATCAATAACTAGGTTAGTCATGAATAGATTTGGGTTAAGCCATCCATTTGATGAAAATTGCTACTTGCAAGCGTGCTCCATGGATATACAGAATGACAAGCTACCAAGTGAGAAACAAACAATCATAAAGACGTGCAATGTGAATCAATTAAGAAAAGGGAGTTTGTAAAACAAACACAAGGCGAGGTAACAAAGTCAAAATTACAATATGATATGCTTTACCAATAGAAATCAAAAGTCACGTACAATACATGTCCACATGTGTTTGATCAAATTCTGTGCGTAATATCTCCATTCAGTGCCCAAGAAGTATTTTAACAGTAAATATAAAAATATGATTCACACAACTAAGCTCAAAATATTGAGTGGAGTTCACGCAAGGTAAAAAGCACATGATACGCACCAATTTTAGGAGCCTGACCTCCTGGCAAGATAACTGTTGCATTTGGTTCTTGATTAGTATAGCTGACAACATCAAATGTTTTCCCTGCCAAGATGATATATAAATAACTTGAATCCATTGATTTTACATTGGAAAGAAAACTGATGCAGAAAACAATTAAGAAAAAAATTCAAAATTATATATATATAATTGTTTCTGTTTTTTTAATTTATCTTTTTAGGAATGAGAATTTTGGTGCGTGAGTTTTAGTAGGGCATGAGTTTTCACCAAGGAAGGCCTATCTTTTGGTTTAGGGAATAACATATAGACAAGGTAAAGATCTTTTGGTTTTAGAAATAACATATAGACAATGTAAAAATCTTTTAGTTTAGGAAATAATAAATGATAGTTATCTTTTAGTCCTAGAAACGGTAACGTGAAGCTTAGAGAGAGAAACTAGGGAGAAAACATTGAGGTGGTACGTGATAGAGAAAATAGGGAAGTACATAACTTTAGAGAGAGAGAGAGAGAGAGAGAGAGAGAGAGAGAGAGAGAGAGAGAGAGAGAGAGAGAGAGAGTAGTAGTAGTGTAGTTAGTTAGTTAGTTTAGTTTACGTTTAGTTTACGTTTAGTTTACGTTTACGTTAGTTAGTTAGTTACGTTTTACGTTACGTAGTACGT